TAGTTATGTTTTTGTTTTTTTAACAACACTGTTTCTGTTATAATGTCACCACGTGTGATGTTGGTCACCTTAAAACCAGACCCAGTTCTGATTCTGAAAGTGGCATTTCACAACTTCTTCTCTGCTTTAATAAATCAGAAAAAGAGGTGAAGTGTTGATTTGACATGCTCATTATAGATAGGGCTGGATCAAGTGACCCTAAACCTTCCCTTAGTTACACTGCAGACTTGCAATAGGGCTGGTGCACTGAGTATTTCTTCTTCACTCACCGTGTGTTTACACAACAGTATGTATTTAATCAATAGTTCTTATTAAGCTCTGGCTCTCTTCTAAAGTGTGTCTTTTGTCCTGTCTTCCTCCCTCGGCCAACACCAGTCTGGGCAGATGGCTTCCCCTCATTGAGCCTATTTCTGGTGAAGGTTTCTTCCTGGTAAAAAGGAGTTTTTCTTTCCCGCTGTCGCCAAGTGCTTGCTCATAGGGGGTCATCTGATTATTGGGGTTTTTATTGGAGGTTTGTTCCTTTATAATATAAAGTACCTTAAGGGGACTGTTGTGATTTGGATTTAATTGGATGGATGAATGAAGAATCTTTTAAAGACTCAGACAGCTACAAACAGTTGCTGCAGTGGACACTTTTCATTTTTCTAACTTCGCTCCTCTCCGTGTCTGGCTGAAGTACCAAACCACGTATCACACACTTTGGACACTGCCTGGCAACAGGTACTCTTTGCAGGTAGACGGGCACATAGCTTCCTATGGTCTGGTACGGAGCTGCCATTGGAGAACCATGTTCAGTCCAGAGCTGGCAGACAGATATTTTAGGCCACATAAGGAAATATATTGTCTGTATTTTAAAAAACAAACAAAAAAACACCCATTGGGATACTACATTACCCATAATTCAGCTCAACAACCTCATTCCCTTAAGTGAACTGTAAAAGTGGTCCTAGAGTCTTTGTAGACATGACAAGACCGTTTAATCGCTGCAAAAAAAGATATCATTTGATGTTCTTTGTCTTTCACCCAATTCCTGTGGTGCAGATTACCAGCGTGCTCTCTATGGCTGACTATGAAGAGGGTTTTAAAACGCTGCTAGCAGTGAGGAAAATGAGGTTCCCAAGCTTCTGCCGATGAACATTGGGGGATGGGCTGCTATTAATGACGATGAGGGGCCTCTTTACCTGTAAGGTCAGCGACCTCTAGGTGAATGCTGCAGCGCTCCTTTTCCATCTAATCTTTGGCTGTATGTCCCACATATTTCTGGTAAGGATCCAATTACTTCTGCCTGGCTGACCTCTGACCTCTTCGTCACCAGTATGAACCTCATCTTCTGACCCCAACAGTCTTACCACTGTTAACCTTCCCCATCATTCACCCGTCTGTCCCTCTCGCTGCTATCATGATTCTATAAGGAGACCTTATCTCAGTGTCCCTAATGTAAAAGTCCACTCAACTTTTCTCTGTGACTTCACTTGATATGGTTTTATACACAGTAAGTAAAATGCCATTAATCTTGTTTGGTTGTACAAAGAACAGAACAGCTGATTAGGTGGAGACTCATTTTCTCTGCCCTCTGATAAATTTACTTCTGCAGTCGTGTTCTACAGTTCCTGTTTTTCTGTATTTACAGAATGATCTTTGAACCTCGTTATAAGCTGCAGTCGATGGTTGTTAAGCCATCGCCGTCTCTTAATCACAACACAGATACCTGTTAATTACCAAATGAGTTCAAGTGTTTTTGCTGCTTAAACAAGGATTTGGGATCGATGCATTGCTTTGCTCGGGGTCGAGCAGTGAGCACTGTTGACCATTTAATGAAACGTTACAGGTTCTGTGCGCAGAGGCTGAAGGAAATGAAGAGCTGGGAGGATAAAGCGAAGGATGTATTAATAGGCAGCTGCACGGACGACACAGTTTGGGATTGGGTCAGGGATAAAGCATGAACTTGTAAACTCACAGAGGGGCCTCTCCTTCCTCCCTCCCTCTCGCTAACTTACTCTCGCCCTCCGTGGTGTCATCAGTTAGCAGAAGTGGGCTCGATAGCCCAGGCAGGCTCTACGAGAGCAGCGATTACCCATCCTTTCTGATTCTCATCCCCAGCAGAGTTCACTCAAAGGTAATACAGTATGCATCCAGAGAGACACCAGATTTCCTCTGCCTTTGTTCTTTGACGTCTCCTGCTTTGCAAATACTATATCCATGCAATGCTATTGGCATGCATGTAATTTAACAAATATCACCTTTACACTCCTATTACATAAAATCACAAAGAGGTATAGAATTTGTATATTATTCAGCCCCCCCCCCCCTTTTCCTTTCTGCAACTGACCAGTAGCCATTAACGAGGTGCCCAGTTGACTTCAGGGTCCGTTGCACCCCCCTGGCATCCAAGGTGTGGTCTCAATGGGCCGTTTTGCTGTGATCACAGCAGGCAGTGGGAGGTTAATCCCAAGAGAATGCAAGCTCAATCTTTTCCCGCCTCCAGCTTGCACCCGGGGCCCTCACATCTCCACTTGTATAATGGCCTGACGGAGCTCTGTGGTCTGTGGCCAACACCTCTTCAGATTTCACTTCTGCTTTCTTTAGCTCTGAGAATATTGTGACATTTTTCAAGGCCTGCACCCATTACAAAGAATAACCGAGTGGGTTGCTGACCTCTCACCTTTGTGCAAAGTCTAATTATAAGTATAAGCTAAGTATATGGAAGAAACTGAATACTTAAACACTATGTAAATTTTTGTGTTGTCCAAAATATAGAAAATGAACCGTCACCAGTCATAGATATCATAAGCAGCAGAAGTGAATTTTAAATTATCAGCATGGCTCAGATATTACTAATAATTAATACTAATGAGAAACTCTAGCATGTTTTTAAAAATGTGTGCCTCCCAGTGTACAGCTATGACAATTAGCCCCCCGTTAAAACATGTTTTGATATACGTTTAGTTTGTTCGAGCACCGCTAAATAATTTCAGATGGCAGAATATGCATCTGTTTTTCCCCGGAGTCTTTTGCACATATCTGCGCGTAATTAATGTGGATTTTGACAGATGGAGAAAAAAAAATGTCCTCGTAATAGAGAAGGGTACATGCCACAATGTGTGAAGTGCAAGCATGGAGGGAGCTTCTTGTATTATTTGCTGCCCATGCCAGCTGGACCCGACAGATTCTTACAGGTAGAAATTCGAGCAAGAAATATATGCAGGAATCATTTAAATTCAGTGCCCACCATAAATAGGCGGTGTTTTTGTTGTTACGGTTGGAAATCAATGTGAAATGTTCTCAGTGTTGTTCTAAATTTGGCATTCAGAAGACTAAACCTGTCCCGTTCGGTGTCTTTCCATCCATGGTAACCTTCGTGAAATATCCAATGAAGTGCAATTTCTTTCAATGGTAATTGTGACTGGAGGTCATTTTTAATTTAAATGCTTAAAATTCCCCCCCTTTTAGTCATTGTGTGCACGCGTGTGTGTCTACGTGCACACGTGTGTGTGGTGTGTGCATCTGTTGTTAGAAACCATGTTATTTCTGAATGCATCAGGGTCTGACTTAAATATTAGTGTAACTACATTATCACAGTTTCTTTGCCTGGTAGCAAATATGTACAAATGAGGATTACAACTCTTGAGAAGGCAACAGGTCATGGTTGGTAAGCTGCCCGGGGGGGTCACTGATATAGAGTCACTTTTGACAGGCTGTGGAGGAGGCTCTATTGTTGCTGGTGTGTCTGGATGTTACCTGCAGGCACTATCACTGAGACTACAGTATTATCCTATTATTAGGCTTAGTTGTTTACGCTTATTACTGCTTGTCAGGTAGGCAGAGAATCCTTCTGAAAATGAGCATCTGCAGAAAAAATACACGACTACTTCTTTATCTCATTCAAGTACATCGGCTTAGGATAATTTTCACAGGCCTGCACGAATGTATTGATAGGACACAACAAACAGAAATGTAAGATTTATGTTTACATGGAAAATGTTTTCCTGCACCGACTTTCCCAACAGTGTTATTTGGCAGCCGACGTGAGAATGTAAGAAACGATGCATCTGTTCTCTGTGTATTAAAGCTGATAGCATTATGGTATTGCCTCTGTAGGAAGCACGATATACAGTAAGGGGGACAGCGAGGATTGAAACAGCCTTGATTAATGTCTCTGTTTGTAGAGGAAGTGAACAAAATAAAAAAAGCCCATCATATGGTCTGGCAGATTTTGGGCACTAGACCAGGGATGACAAATGTGCTCTCGCAATAATTCAATCTGCTCTCATAATTCTCTAACTTTTAGGGACAGACAGAATGAAGATTTTCCGGCAATTAAGCCGCCAAGTCAACGTCCAATAACTGTGATCAAGTGTTAGTTAAGATGCTTTTTCTCTCACTTTATCCATTGACAGATTGAGGGGTATAAAGATACTTGGTAAGTGGCAGAAAGTTACTGTGAATATGTTAACGAGAGGATTTGGTATCGGATCCAAAACGTTGTCATTTTGTTGATGTCACATTAATGATATGAAGTTTTAAGAATAACTGTGAAGGAACAGAGCTCACTTGTTGGAAGAATAAGTTTGTGATTAGCACAGCTACTGTATTCCAATGTGTATCATTGCCTTTTTAGGACAGCTTTCTTCATACTTTGAGCACTTTAACCTTGGCAGCTGAATTAAGACTGTTAACACAGAAGAAAACCCACCCTTCTGGCTTTGTTTGCTGTCTGCATACATTTTATAAATAGAATAAGAATTCACACAGCATTAAATAGGGTAACGTAAAGCTTAGAAAGTAAAGTGTGTGTTTTTGAGTATCTAAACCAACTCCAGTTGTCAAGCCTTGGGCGACGTAATGTGCAAACGGCACATGGCTGTTTAGAAAGCAGAAGGGATCAGGTACTGCTGTTGCTCAAAGTGCCTCTGGGCCAATCACAGTGTGCATGGCACTGCGGTAAACACTTTGTCTGTGTTAAATAAATCAATAACATATGAATCTCCTTCTGTTTGCAGAAAAAGACGTACGTCTTGGTGATGGTCGATCCTGATGCTCCAAACCGCAGCAAGCCAACATCTGCTTACTGGAGGCACTGGTTGGTCGTGGACATACAGGTACGCTAAGACTGAAAAACTGCGCCGCTTTAAGGAAAAACAAGACTTGTGTTTTGGTGATGGTGACACAGGCCGTGTTTGTTATTGGATTAGAAACTCATGGGGTACAAATTTATGATGTAGCGCGTGGCTGTTTAAAAAAAAATTTTCTTGAAAATTGTGCATTTTCATAATCTCGGGGTCTCACTTGGCATGTGTAGTGTTTACATCTGCACTGGGGCCGATCGTAAGGCTGAAAAATTATGAATGGTTTTTAAGCCTAACTTGGTTCAAAAAAAGGATGCCAAGTTTGAAAAATGTTAATTTTTCATATCATGTATCTTGTGCAATAAATGCCTGTGACAAAAGTGTGGGAGTAAGTCTTTCTAAATGGCTGTGAAAGTTTGCAAGGCCCTGTCAGCAGCAATTTCCCTCTGCTGCAGAGAGCCTGGGATGTGTCAATGCAGGCGTGTGAGACCGAGATTGAGGAGAGCAGCATGCGAGGCGCACACTCTTTTCTCCCATAGAGCTCCAGTCCCTCAGCTCCCCCTTCAGTGGAGAGATCTTGGCAGAATGTCCTCCCTTCATCTGTTCCCCCAGGCAGAGCAGCTCCCCCAATGATCCACACTTCTCCATATTTTACACCCCCGAAATGGGCACAGCTCCGATCCCCTTATTTCTCTTCATATTTCACTCCTTTTTATCCGTTCGTTTGTGTGTTTTCACATTCTTGCATTCTAACGCCAAATGCATGTTGAGTTGTTGATTGCCTCAAATATTTAGAGGTTTGCCGACATTTTATAATCCCCCGGTAACCGGGAGATCAACTCGGTAGATTAAGACTAGTGGTTTAAGAAACAAGCACACAAAGACGCTTCAGCGATGTATCACTGCTGCCATTTCGTTTTTATAAGGCGTGGTCATACACGAAGTAAACGGCACATTGATTTAAAGATCCAAATGTGATGTATTTGGGATGTATATTCTGGAAAACCTGCAGTAGACGTAGACTGTGCGTTCTGTGATTGAGCTCATTGGTGAGAGTTGGTTTATTTAACCACACTTTGGCTTACTGTAAGGAATCTATGAATATTTACCTCACATTTCTCACATACATCAATGATATAAAAAAAAGGGAGTGATTTGCACTTTGTAAAATTGTATTAGGCATCACCTTTGCTTCTTATTTTTAAGCCAATAAAGTCTGCCTGGCTGCACGACTAGCTGTGAATAAACAAATGTCTTTCAAGTGCTCAGACAGAGCACATTTTCTCTAGCAATTCAATTTCCTGTCACTTGTGTGGGTGTTGACCTGCGTTGCCCATGTAGGGATTGGCCAATGTGATGGGATGTTTTTCTGATTGTGACTGGTGGTTGGTCAGAAGGGTTAATGAGCCTTTTGAGTGATGCCAACTGTAGTGGGAGGTGTTTAATTGACCAGGGTGCCTAGGTGACATCATAAAATCTCAGTTTTGTTTGAAGTGCCGATGTGAATGTATTGGATTTTGATTTGGTTCAGCGGTTTTGACAGCAATGTCGGTCAATTTTTTGAATGAATGCATAAGTATATGTAATTCAGAAAGAAAAGACTAGAGTCACAGTCAAATATGATTGAGGATTTTTTTTTAAATTTATTCTTTGCATTATTGTTTCATGTGAATTTAAAATAAAAAGTTCTGTGTGCTAATATTTGACATTCACTAGTTATTTGTAACAATGTGTTTGATGGTAGATTACTCTGAAAGGAAAGTTTCTTTAGCTGAAGTCAGGGGTCATGCTTTCAAATGTCAAAGGGATCAGTGTTTTGATCCTCACTCGTCAGATGGTGTGAGCTGCAGCAGCCATAGTCTTTTCATATATATTCATTAGCACAAGGTCATGCAGTCTTGCCCTAGATGAGGATGTTTCCATAATTAGTGTGGATTTTTTTTTGTTTTGTTTTTGTTTTTTATCCATATCCGGAGTTATGAAGAAAAATATTTCTTTAATTTAACTGAGAATAAAGTGAGGTCAGGCTGGACTGAGCAGCAAGGCGCTACAGATTTACACCGATATCTCCACCAAAGTCTCATTACAGAATCAATGATAGCACAGCAAAGACCTGCTAGAGTACCTTGTGTTTAGATAGGTTCCTCACCTTACCTTGCTCTGCATGTTCAGCTGTTCACCTATCAAAACATGCTGCTGAGGGTTTTTTTAATTACGTGACTGCTGTGTAAGACGCACTTGAGAGGGATACTTGTGAATCAGAGTGTGAACATTATCAGGCCGCCCGGACCAACCAAGTAGCAGATGTCTTTCTTTTGGAATGATTATCAATAGTAATCTTAAGATAATGACATTGTGTTGTTGCGATTAACATATTTGCCTTGTGCATAAAAGGTCTCTGGTTTCAGACACAAAACCAGCTTCAGGGGTCACAAGCTGGTGTCGGTCCAAAGCCCTGCTGTAAAATCTGTGGCACATCCAAGTGTGGTTTACTCAAACCAGAAAATACAGCTCAGTCCTGATGTTGCTAAAGCTCAGTTCAATTCAAATTTATTTATATAGCGCCAAATCACAACATCAGTTGCTTCAACAATCAGACAACTTCCGGTGAGCAAGCACTTGGAGACAGTGGGAAGGAAAAACTTCCTTTTAACAGGAAGAAACCTCCAGCAGACCAGACTCAGGGAGGGGCGGCTATCTGCTGCAACCAGTTGGGGGTGAGGGGGAGGGACAAAAGACACACTGTGGAAGAGAGCCAGAGATTAATAACAACTGTGGGCCAAGCTAGTTAAGTTAAATGGGGGGAAAAAATCCTGACAGCAGTTTTGATACGTTGATAAATGAGAGAACACATCCGTATAATTATGAGTCTGCCTGCTATCAAAGAACCAAGTGTGGGATAATAAACCAAATCACTAAAGTGTGGGTTTAGCTAAACTGAGATTTAGGAAAAGACTTGCTTCAACTATTTGGCTTGGATTGTAGCTGTGCTTTAAAGTCTGTGTTAAACAAACAGCATTAAGTCAGATTCTGGTTTTAACTACGCGTTAAGTAGTCCCTCCGTTTTAGCTCCTTTGTCATTTTTCAAAATAAACCCAACTGGGTCGAGCTGTTATTTGTGCCTGACACAGTAGGAAAAAATCCCAAAAATAAATGTAACTATATCCAACAGCATCAGCAAACATTTATAAACATGCCGAACAACTGTACAAATACAATTTGAAGACAATCATATTTTAATGTTTGTCAGGTGTTAAATCTTTTATTTAACTGTGTATCACATATCACATCTTTACTTTTGGCTGCCAAGAACAATTCACTCCAGCAATTAAGTGTAAACTGTGTGGCTGGGTGTCTTGTCTTCTCTCACCAGCTGTCCACTTTTCTGTGAGAGCTCGCATTATTAGATGCTCTATATGCATTTTTCATTGCGACTGCCCATTTTCCCTGACCCCCTGAACAACAGTAACAATCATTTAGAATCTTCTGCAGCACACGCTGTTTTTTTTTGTTTTGTTTTGTTTTGTTTTTGGGGTTTTTTTCATCAATTGTGGACAATTACCAAAATAACCATCAACAGATTGTTGTCTCGCTCTCGAAGTCGAATTCCAGATTGTGAGCCTCTCCCTCCCTCTCTTTGCTCTCCCAGAGACTAAATCAATACAGATGTTCGGGTACGGACTCGCAGCAATAATTACTATAACAAGCAAATCATTAGTACCTGAATAGAGTTAGCATATATATAAACTGCACTGGGTGTTACTTTAACTTTCTAATACTCTCATTATTTTGGTGCATGTTGAGTCAACATGATGCAATATGAAGTTGCAAAGCAGTGCTATAGTTAATGCACTTTTGCACTCACTGGTTAGAAAGAGATAAAAAAGCCTTAGGTTTTTATAGATAATTATAGCCAGACCAATATCATCAGCTGATATTCAAGCAGCAGATTGTCCGATATGGAATGATATTTAAAAAAAATGTTCTTATAAAACACGGCGCAGGAAAGATGATTTAAAATGTTCTCATCTAGTTCATTGTGCAGCAGAATGCCTGCAACTTTGTTTACAATGCTCCATACATGAAGACTGATGTCCAGGATGTCCCCTGCCCCTTGCACTTTGAGCTGGGATACACTCAGTATATTAAGTCAGTGTCAGTGACTTTGCAGTATTTTTAGCATGCAAAAGCAATACAGAGATGATTATTGGATTTTTCAGAGCTCCAACTTTTTTCTGCAGTTATTCTACAGTCTGTTTATAGCCACCAGAAGCAGAAACACTAAGGCTACCATGCAGCAGCCATCATCCAAGCTCAGATACATTTCTTTAAACAAGACATGAGATTTACGACCCCTCGTAGCCTGTTTGGACTCCGATCACTCTGTCCTGTTTTGAGGATTGGAAGCCATCACATATCAGCTTCCTCTTCATGACTAATCGAAGGCCAGTTGCATGCACATCCTTCGTGCATTCGCGATTATGGTGCATGAGGGACTTGCATGCTTTAACATCCATCTCTGTTGTAGCGGCTCCCAAAGCAGGACACTGCCTGCGTTCTGCTGCTGCTCAGGCAAATACAAACAGTGAAGTATTGTGACTGTGTCAGACCAGCTGGCTTTGTGTTTGTGAGTTCTGAGGCCTGCAGAGATCATCTGCTCCACACCTCAAGATGTCCTTTATCTGCAAACTATTAGACGTGCAATGCCTCGCAGCATTTCATTCACCATTTAGCTCTTGAAAGCATTAAAATGTTAGCATTTTCTTTCTTTCTTTTCTTTTCTTTAAAACTCTAAACACCTCATCTTAAAGGACCACAAAAACACAGAAAAGAGGACAAGAGTTGCATGTTGGCACAGACTGTTTTGAAACAACAACAACAGATTCTCGTTGTACTTATTTACCATTATTGTGAATATGTTTAGTGTGTGTCTTTTCAGGAGATATTGTGTGTTTTACATGCACTGAGACATTTCTGCCTGTGCACTCAGTGATGAGTCTTTATCCAAAGTTTATAGTTGATGTGAAGTTTTG